ACACCTCCCCTCCAGACGCACCAGCGCTGGACAGTGTGAGCTGCCCGGAGCGCATCACGTGGCTGGAAGGAACAGAGGCCTCGCTGAGCTGCATGGCACACGGAGTGCCGCCACCCCACGTGAGCTGCGTGCGCTCGGGGCAGGCGGAGGCCATCGAGGGCTTGCTGCACGTGGCCCGGGAGCACGCAGGCACCTACCGCTGTGAGGCCACCAACTCTCGGGGCTCTGCGGCCAAAGATGTGGCCATCACGGTGGAGTGTGAGCCGGCGCTGGGGGAGGGGGTCAGCGAGGGGCAGGGTATGTTTGGGTAACTCTGGTCTGACTTTCAGTCCTTGCCTGACTCTCTGCTCCCCAGACGGCCCCAGTTTTGAGGAGCTGAGCTGCCCCAGCAACTGGACGTGGGTGGAAGGATCTGGACGGCTGTTTTCTTGTGAGGTTGACGGGAAGCCGCAGCCAAGAGTGGAGTGCATTGGCTCCCGGGGCACCACCGGGAGGGTGCTGCTTCCGCTGGCACCCCCAGACCCTAGCCCCACAGCCCCCAGCATCCCCAGTGAACCCGCCTCCGGCATCTACACCTGCAACGCCACCAACCAGCACGGCTCCATGGTCAAGACGGTGGCCGTGAGCGTGGAGTGTGAGCGGGGCCCAGGCGGGTGGGAGCAGGGTGCGCCCCGGTGGGCCCCACCCTGACACCCGCCGTGGTGGCTGCTTTGCAGCGCCTCCGAGAATGGACGAGTCCACCTGCCCGAGTCACCAGACGTGGCTGGAAGGGGCTGAGGCTGCCGGGCCGGCCTGCGCCGCCCGGGGTCGCCCCTCCCCACACGTGAGCTGCTCCCGGGAGGGTGGCCCCTGGCCTCCACGGATACGCGTGTCCCGACAGGATGCGGGCACTTACCTCTGCTTAGCCACCAACGCGCATGGCACCGACACCCGCACCGTCACCGTGGGCGTGGAATGTGAGTGGGGGCAGCCCCAGAGAGAGGGCCCTCCGTCCCCAGAACAGGGACTGGCATGGGCGGGTTCAAAGGCACCTCCCCCAGTTCCACTCTCGGGGACAAGGGAAGGGACCCAGAGCTGAGAGCAGTGAAAACTCTAGGGAACAGGAGCCTGCTCCCCCCCCCCCCCCAACTCAACCCAGAGAGTTGATTCCTGGGGTCCTACCTCCTTGCATTCAATGAAGCAGGGCCCAGGAGTGGTACCTGCCACAGCCATCCTGTCCGGGGAAGGGGCCCCGTTAGGAGGCAGGAGCCCCCCTGTGCACCCCAGCAGGGGTGGTGGCAGACGGAAGCAGGGAGCTTGGGCATCCTTAGGGCTGGCGCTGAGCCCCCCATCCAACCTCCTGTCCCCCGCAGACCGGCCAGTGGTGGCCGAGCTGGCCGCCTCGCCCCCCGGAGGTGTGCGGCCGGGCGGGAACTTCACGCTGACCTGCCGCGCCGAGGCCTGGCCCCCCGCCCAGATCAGCTGGCGCGCGCCCCCAGGGGCGCTCAACCTAGGCCTGTCCAGCAACAACAGCACCCTGAGCGTGGCGGGCGCCCTGGGCAGCCACGGCGGCGAGTACGAGTGCGCGGCCACCAACGCACACGGGCGCCACGCGCGGCGCATCACCGTGCGTGTGACCGGTAAGTGGCACCTGCGGGGCGCAGCCCGGGCCCCGGGACACCCGTCCCCCCTCTCGGTCCCCACAGGTGAGGTTGAGGGAGGCCAGGGTAGAAGTCAAGGGCAGCCTTTCGTGTGTGAGGCTTTCGTGGCCGGTTGGGGGTGTGAGGTGGAGGGAGAAGGAGCCGAATGAATGAACCTCACGGGGGGAACCCTCTGGGGCTGTGACTTACTAACGTGGGGGGCGGTTTCCCGCCGTGGAGACTTGGTCCAGTGCACCCTGCACTGCGTGGCCGTACAGAAGAGGGCTTGGGAGAGGGACCAAGGGCAGAGGTTGGGAGAGGTCCTTTCCCCCCACTTCGTCTCCCTCTGAGACGTGGCTCTTCCTGAGATAGAGGAATGGCAGGGTGCGCCCCACCCCGCCCTCATCGTTTCGGGGGTGAGGAAGAGTTGATTTCTGGGTACCTCTGCTCAGCCATAGGCTTCCATCCCCACCTGCTGGGCGGCACGTAAAACGGATGATGGGTGGCACCGGCACTGCGCCTCGTCAGGGTGGGGGGCACCCCACGCTCGTCCACCCTCTTTGAGGGGCTCCCCCCCGCAGGTCCGTGGCTGTGGGTCGCCGTGGGCGGTGCGGTGGGGGGCGCAGCGCTGCTGGCCGCGGGGGCTGGCCTGGCCTTCTACGTGCAGTCCACCGCCTGCAAGAAGGGCGAGTATAACGTGCAGGAGGCCGAGAGCTCGGGCGAGGCCGTCTGTCTCAACGGTGCGGGCGGCCCGGGCGCCAGCAACAGCGCCCAAGGCGACACGGACCCCGACGGCACCGCAGAGACGCCTGCGGGGGGCGAGGTCTTCTCCATCCAGCTGACATCGGCGTGAGCCCTCCGCCCTCCCCCCGCCGGCCGGGGGACGCCCCCCAGACACACGCGGGGGCTTACCGATTGTTCTATTTATTCATTTATTTATGTATTCAGCTCCAGGGTGTCACCCCCATTTTCTAACCCTCCCAATAAAGTTTTTATAAAGGACTCTGGGTCTGTGTCGGCGGTCTCCGGGATGTGGAAGCAGCCCATAGGCTATTCGTTCATAAAACCGGTTTGATTTTGAGGGCCTACTATGTGCTGGGTGGGCACAGCTCAAGACATGACCTGGAACTTCTTTGCCCATTTCCTGTTCTCACAGGGCCCCTGAGCCAGGGTGAGGGCCACACTCCTCCCCCCTCTCCCTGCTGCTTCTTCCTTGGCCTAGAACTGCCTCCAATTGAGCTAACTCTTGGGGGTGGGAGCCAGGTGCTTCCCCAGAGCCGAGGCTGCCTTCCCACGATGGTGGACCTCCCTCCCAGGGGTCTGGGTGTGGGTAGTAAAGGAAGGCAGTGGCTGCAGCTATGGTGTCAGCCCCTTCCCCACTCTCAATGCTTCCTTCATTCAGTGCCTCAGTTTACCCCCAACCTGCCTTTGGGTTTGGCCCATGATTCAGTACAGACACACAGGGTATCAGGCACAACCCCCGAGGCACACCACTATGTCCCCTCACTCCCCACGGAGTAAGGAGAGAGCAGCTGGGTTCCTACCCTCGCCTCAGTCTTCTGTCTCAAGAGCAGGGTCACAGGTGCAGGTCTGGACAGCTCCAGCTTCCTCCGCTGCCCATGCTAACATTTCGTGAACAAAGGGTGAGAGCAGGAGGCAGGGGCGCCAGAGGCCAAGCCAGCGCTGGGTGCCAAGTACAGAAGGCAACAAGGCACAAGGGTGGTGAGGCGCCTGCTGTCCCACCTCCCTCCCCCCGTCCTTCTCCTCACTCCCACCCACCTTTCTCGAACCCCACAAAGTTCTGCCTGCCACAGGGCCTTTGCTCTCGCCATTCTATCTGCGTGGAGTGTCGGCACCCCAAATCATCCCATGGCTAGTTCCGGATTCCATGGTCTCTGTGCAAATGTCACCTCCCCAGAGAGGCCGTCCGGAGAACCAGGGCTGACGGCCCCTCCCCGAACTCAGCGTCTCCTTCTAGACGTTTATTTCTCTGTAGCACGTGACATTCTAATAGTCACGTAATTAAATACTGCTTTACTGACACTCTGGAACATTGGCCGCACTAGAGCAGAGATCCTTGTTCTATTCAGTCCCCATTGGGGCCTAGCACACGGTAGCCGCTGGAAAAATGTTGACTAAATGGCTCAAAGCAGCCTGGAGCTTGTCCGTACACAGTCTGAGACCATCACGTATTCCTAAGAAGTTCTCCGTGCTGGACACCGGGGTGGGGGGGACCCTTGGACCTTCAAAGTCAGGGTCCATCGGGCGAGAGGACCGTAAAGAAATGACCCTGGAGAAGTAGAGCACTGAAAATTCTGGAAGTTCTCAGCAGGAGGCCAGCCAGGCGCTGAGGTGGAGCCTGGCAGGGGTGGGTGAGGGGTGTGTTTTATTCAGGGCTGTCAAGGGGGCTTCTCTGAAGGCTGTGAGGAGGCGGCAGCGAGGGAGCCCCGGGGGAGGGTGTTCTGGACCAAGGAAGGGCGAGCCCAACTGAGTCAGGTAGAAGGGCTGAATGTGGGCGCAGACTTCTGCACAAGCCCGCCCGGGGGGAAGAGACAAAGAGGGTCTTGCATGGGCCTGTCTTTCCGGGGCATGTGGCCAGGGAAGCCTCAGCCACCCCCAAGGCAGGGACCACCTCTGCCCTCCCTGCATCCCACCCAGCCTTGACTCCCAGCCCTCTCTCTCCCTCCAGTGAGCACGGCAGTCAGTGTGCCCTGTGACAGCGGCAGGGCTGACCTCTGCCCAGGGCTTGCTTTCCCACATGGCTTTTGGCTTCAGACTGGGGACACCTCTTGGAGGGGTCAGAGGGATCTTGAAAGAGGGGGAGGGGGACACAGAGGGGACTGGTGCCTGGAAGGATGCGATAGGTGACATTCTGTAGGCGGGGGTGGGAGGTGGGGGGTGAGGGGGAGCTGACAGGTAAAGTCCTGGACTCCCACTGTGTCTGTATCACTGTGCCCCAATGTGTCATCTGTGTGTTTGTGTGTCTGTTGACACGTGTGGCTGTATTGTATATGTGTATCTGTTGTGTGTCTATGGACTTGTGTGTCGCCTATCGTGTATCAGTGGACATGTGTCTGTCAACCCATGTATCTCTCAATCTTGTATGTAGCCTGTCTCTAAATGTGTGTCTTGTGTGTGTGTGTGTTGATGCGTCTGTCTGTCTTGTGTGTGTCTCTCTTTTGTCTGTGTTGTCTGTGTGTGTGGTGCTGTTTCCCCGTGTGGACGTTTTGATGCATGTAGCCAATCCTCTACGGGAGGCTGGTGCCTTTATAGATATGATTGTGTGTGTGTCCCTCGCCAGCCCAATGAGAAAATGCCGCCCCACATTCTGGGCCCGGGAGAGTGGCCGGTGAGGGCACCCCGAAGTCACAGCACCGCTTCTCTGAGGAGTTCTGCTCTTTATTGTCCATCCTATTCGCAGACAGCACGGATTCCTACTGGGAACACTTGCTGAGTGGGAGCTCGGCCAAGCCTGACTGCAGCAACGGCCACGGAAGGGGCCAGCGAACCTCTGAGCGGGGGGCTCTGGGGCCCGAGGCCTGGATCGTCTGCCTGGGGTCCCTGCATGGGGAGAGGGCAGAGGCAAGGCAGGCTGGAGCCCTGAGACCCAGGCGTTTCCCCCTTTCCTCTTCGGAGGGCTTCTTGCCATCTCCCCTTGGAGAAACCGAGGCAGGACAGGCGTGAGGAAGGGCTTACCCTTCCTGGGGTGGGCCTTGGCCGGGGCCCAGGAACATCCCGCATCTTCCACATAACTTCTTGGGCTGCACATTTTTCCTGGGCACCAGCCAGCAGCTGGAGCACCGGGTGCCATACTTCTTGTACCTGGGATGGGGGCACAGAAATCCAACATTCAGGAGGCGCCAGGGAAACCACTTCCCCGAGGGTGGTGATTTCCCCTTCCCAACACCCCATGCCAGCTAGGCACAGGCTGACTGGTGACCCTCCCCCCACCCCCTCCTCCAGCCTGCAGACCTGATACCACAGGCATTGCAGAGAGGTGTCCCATCCTCGGCATCTCTCCAGAGCGGGGTTCTCTGGGTCCTACAAGAAGCACAGCGCCTGGCCCCTGAAAAGGCAGAGGCCAAAGAGCAGGAGTCAGGGTTAAGCGTCCAGGCTCAGGAGGCTGGTGTGCGGTGGGGAGATCTGGGAGGATCTCTGTGAAGGCCCCGCTGGGCTCTGGGCCCCCGTCCCCGGGTGTGCCATATCCCAGACAAAGGGAAAGTCGGGAAGGGAGACAGATGGCAAAGCTTGGCAGAGGAGGAAGCTGGGGGTGGGGGTGACTCAGCAGAGTGAAGGGGGGCACTGAGCCTCATCCTGGAAAGGTCTAAATGGGGAAGCGGGGTGGGGAGTAAGGCAGGGAGGATAGAAGGCGCCCCCCTCCTTCCCTTATTTATAGCTCTCAGGTCTCCAGGACTCACCCAGGGCCTCGCTGCCTCCTGCGTTGGCCTCAGGGCCTGTAGGGGGAGCCTGAGAGCGGCTGCTGCTGGCCAGGCTGGGGGCAGACAAGGCATTCATAATCGGGAATCTGTACCCTGTCCCAGAAAGCCTGCCCAAATAAAGATTTACTATCAAGATATCAGGCATTTACCCTAGCTTGTTTGGCTCAATGGATAGAGGGTCAGCCTGTGGACTGAAGGGTCCCAGGTTCTATTCCAGCCAAGGGCACATGCCTGGCTTGCAGGCTCCATCCCCCAGCAGGGGGCATGCATGAGGCAGCCAATCAATGATTCTCTCTCATCCCTGATGTTTCTCTCTCTCTCCCCCCACCTCTTTTACTCTCTAAAATCAATAAAATATATATATCAGGCCGAGACCGGTTTGGCTCAATGGATAGAGCGTCGGCTTGGGGACTGAAGGGACCCGGGTTCGATTCCGGTCAAGGGCATGTATCTTGGTTGCGGGCATATCCCCAGTAGGGGGTGTGCAAGAGGCAGCTGATCGATGACTCTCTCTCATCGATGTTTCTTACTCTCTATCTCTCCCCCTTCCTCTCTGTACAAAATCAATAAAATATATTATAAATAAATAAATAAATAAATAAAAAGGGTATCAGGCATCCTTCAGGAGGCATCTGATATCTGAAAGGCCTGGCTTTGTCTCTCATTAAGAATTTGAAGAGATAGTATGCTTGGGGAAATCCCATTTCTCTATGCCCTTGCTGTGTCCTTGGAAAAGTGATGTCCCCTCTGTGTTTCAGTTTCCCAATCTGTAAAATGGGCTTTGCAAGGCTTCAATGACCCATATGCACCAAGGGCTTCCTGTTACCTCTCAGCTGTTGCTCCTGACAAGTGGCAGCTATTATCATTGCTGGAAAAAGCAAGGGTAGCAGCCGCCTGCAGTGCGGTCAGGCCGGTCCCCTAAAGCGGAGGCCCAGGCCCGGCCTGGGATACGACTGGCTATGGCAGCAGGACAGGGCCTGGCACCAGTCCTGCTTGGCCTGTGTGAGTCCGAGCCTGGAGCCGCCTCACCACAGGCCTCTGTCCTGAGCATCTTCACGAACCGCGTCAAAGGGTGCCTGCATGGCGGCCGGTTCCTACCTGTAGCTGTGCACGATCTGCAGGCTGGAGTCCGGCTTTATCTGGAACTTCAGGGTCACTCCCTCGAACCCAGGGTCCACTTTCTCCGCGCCCTGGTGCGGCTTCGACTGCTTCCGGGGTCTCCTCTGAGGCAGGGCTGAAGGGGCTGGGGAAACCTCGGGAGGCCCCAGGCTGCCTCCTTGCTGACTGATAGGGGTCGGCATGGCCGGGGGACCCCTGGCCAGAGGTGGAGGCTCCAAACCCCCCAGGGCCCTCAGCTCCCAGCAGGGGGCCAGGGCCTGGGGGTCCTGGGCAGGGGCCTGGGCCAGCCCCTCTGCTGACTCTCGGAGGAAGTGCAGGTTGGTGACGGAGGAGTCCTGACGTGCAGGCCAGAAGGAACTGGGGACAAGGGGCAGTGCGGGTGGTCACCCCCTTTCCTGGGCAGCCCTACCTAGGCCTCAGCAAGGGCAACTGCATGGCCTCTGACTACACGGGACCCCGCGTCTCCCCGCGGATCAGAACCTCTTCTTGGTGAGTGCCAGAAACTAACACGGTGGCTCCTCAATAACCCAGGAGCCAGGGGTCATGACCCCTTGGCCACTGGGCCCATTTGGGCGGCTCCTTAAACGCACCTGCTACTGGGTCTGAGGCATCTTGGGGTCCTTGGCGCCTGCTGGGCGGGGGGTCCGGGGAGCGGCTCGGGGTCCAGACACGATGGCGCCAGCAGCTCTCGCAGCAGCATCATGGAGAGGTCCGGCGCTGGCTCAGCCTCCATCATGCCCCAGCCCCGCCCCCTGGGCCCACGGAGGGGCGCCACCTGGGTGAGCGGTGCGTGGTGCGCGCTTCAGCTCAGGGCCGATGGGCCCCACCTGGCGCTGCGGACGCCTGCTCCCCAGCCCCCACCCTTAGGCCGCCCGGCCCTGTCCCTCCTGCTCCGGGGCTCCGCTGGGGGCATGCACACCCCTCGCGGCAAGGGCGGCCTGGGCCCCTTCAAATCCCTCCGCGCCTGCAGGGGCGGGGCCTGGCCACGCTGACGCATACGTAGGCCCTCCAGCTTCCAGGCTCCATTCCGGCCTCAGTTTCCCCGCTGGCCCCCTCACAGCTGCGAGAGGCGGAGCTGAGGGCCTGGAAGATGAAGTTGCAGTTCCGGGGCGGGACGGGGCGGGGCTGCCCCCCACTTCCCCACCAAGGACACTCGGATGCCGGCGTTCTGCAAGATGGTTTTATTGTCACTCTAATTAGACTCCAACCCTTTCCACACTCGGGTTCTCCGGGGCCGCCCCAGCAGGGGCTCTGTCTCCACCGGAGCCTGGACACGGGATCCCTCTGAAGCATTTGGCTTCTCGGTGCTTCTGACATCTCTCTCCGGCCTGTCCATGCTCTGGGCTGGGCTGGCAACGAGGCTATTTCTCCAGTCCTGACCCTCGGGCCATGGGTGTCCGGGATGGTCCAGGGGCCCATTATCAGTGCGGCTTGGGGACGTGACCATCCACGTAGAAGTTCCTGGTGATCTTGGGCAGGGTGAATTCGGCCCCTTCCAGCTCCGGCGTCAGGATGATCTGGCAGCCCAGCCGGGAGTTCTCCTGGAGGAGGGGGGCCATGTCCAGCATGTCATCCTCCCTGGCGAGGGAGGCAGTGGTTAGCAGTGGGCACGCTGGTGCCGCTGGTGCCGAGGGCCCAGAGAAGCAGAGAGAGAGCACCTTTCAGGCCGGCGAGGGGCAGGCTGACTGAGTCCAGGGGAAGTGGTGAGAGGGCAGTGCTGCTGCCAGCAGCTAGAGGGGGAGGAAAGCTGGGGCTGCCCCCCGCTGCTGCCCAGGGACCTCTGGGCACTGGGAAGGAAAGGGTTCAACAGCCAGCCCTGCCGCTCCGAGCCGGAAGGGGGCTGCCCGCTCACCGCTCGTCAGGAGACGGCAGAAAGTCCAGGTGGTCCTCGCTCACATACACGTGGCAGGTGGAGCACGCCAGGGACGCTTCGCAGGCCCCTGGAGGGCAGCAAGTGAAGGGAGTTTGGGTTAAGTGGCATGGTCAGGCGGTGTCATCCAGTGAAAGACGGGCCCCTAATCTTTGGGCGCCCTCCCCCCTGTCCTCTACTCAGCCCGCTGTTCCCGAGCTGTGGATAGGTTTCGCAAAGGGATGTCCAAGGACTTCCCAGCCAGCTGAGGACCAGGCTGGGTACGGGGAACCATTAATGAGCAGGAACTTGACCTCAGTGTAGCTGAGAAGGGAAGGCCAGGCAGGTTCCCAGCAGCCTTTGAATTCCCTTGCTGTGATCCCGTCCCTGTGCTGGGCAAAGTGTCCCTGCCTCCTTTCTGCTCCTGAAGGGGAGACTGGCTCACTCAGCACTGGTGCATTAGGGGAAGGAGACAGGAAATAAAGGTTGAGATGTAGAAGCTGGGTTTTCTGATTGTCCCTGGACACATTCCCAGTCTTATGACTGATGACTGAGAACTGTGCTTGCGGATAATGCCTCTCTTGGGTTAAACCTTCCAAAGGGGCCGAAGCCGGTTTGGCTCAGTGGATAGAGCGTCGGCCTGCGGACTGAAGGGTCCCGGGTTCGATTCCGGTCAAGGACATGTACCTTGGTTGCGGGCACATCCCCAGTAGGGGGTGTGCAGGAGGCAGCTGATCGCTGTCTCTCTCTCATCAATGTTTCTGACTCTCTATCCCTCTCTCTTCTTCTCTGTAAAAAAATCAATAAAATATATTAAAAACAAAAACAAAACAAAAACTTCCAAAGGGTCTTTAAAGCCAGAATAAAACCCAAACTCCTCCACAGTCCTGGTGGGCCCCTTGCCCCTCATTCACTCCACATCAACCACACTGGCTCCCTGGGCTCGGTGCCTCCACCACAGGACCTTTGCACTGCTTTACCTTCGGCCTGGAATGCTCTTCTCGCCACTCTTTCCATGGTCAGATCTTGTATTCAGGAACTCAGCTGTCCTCCAAGTACCCCCTGCCTGTTTCTTGTCCTTCCCCCTTGTTAATTTATTAGTTTTTGTACAGCATTTATCACACCCTGTCAACCTGTCTTCTTCTCTCTGTACTTGGCACTGAGCCTAGCATGTTGTAGATGCTTAAGAGACATCTGTTACAAGTGAATGACAGGACAGAATTCTCCTTTCTCTTCCAGGCAAGTCGGATAATGAGAGCAGAGAAGCAAGGCAGCCTCCTGACCCTCCCTGTATACCGGGGAGAAACTGGGCCTTGAAACTCCAAGTAGCCCCTAGCATCTCTTCCTTAACCGTTTCCCACCTTGTTAGCATCCTCATCCCTGAGATCAAGATTATCCTATCTAATAAAGACGGAATATGGGGGGTGGGGGGAGAAGCTTTAAAAGTAGTAAAAACAAAAACAAGATGAAAGATGAAACACAGACATAAAAATCATTTTTCTTGTACATTAAAAAAAAAAAGACAGAATATGCAAATTGACCATCACTTCGAGACAAAGATGGCGTTCCGCCCTACCCTGGCTGCTCAGGGCCTCGGGTGCTGGCAGCCAGGGGAAGGAAGGCCTATTCTTGCACAAATCTTCGTGCATCGGGCCTCTAGTCTAATACAACTGTCCCAATTAGTCACTACACACTAACCATGTGCCAAGTACTAAGCATTACACATGACATCTGTTTAATCTTCTGTAGCAACCCACGCAAGAGGGAACTAAGTTGTCCTACTTTATAAAAGAGAAAACAGAAGCCCAAAGATGCCAAGTGCCTTGCTCAGGGTCACTCAGCTGGTAAAAGGCAAAATTTGAAAACAGGCCACTTGCCTCTAAAATTCATTATTTCAATCTGCGTCCTAGACTGCCTGCTACTGGATTCCAAAAAAAAAAACACTTGAGGAAGGCCTGCCCTAACCCCCATCTACCCCCACCATCTCAAACCCTAATGATTACATCAGCCTCCTTAATACATTCACCCAACAAACGACCCTGTACTTTTTTTTTTTTTTCATCCACCCTTTCCAGTTGATGATGTAATTACATGTTTACTCCCTATTAGGTTGAAATTTGTGTGAAATGACAGGAGCCTTATCTATTTTAGTACATTGTTGCCTGGCACACGCTAGTGTTCAATATTCATAGGCAAGCAGCACAGATTTAGTGGCTAAAATTGCTGGGTTTGAATCTAGTTTTGTCACTTCACCTCAGACCAGGTTTACATAACCTCAATTTCTTCACCTATAAAATGGGATAATCTGCCTGGCCAGTGCTGCTCAGTGGCTGAGCATCAACCCATGAACTGTTCCATTCCTGGTCAGGACACAAGCCAGGGTTGCAGGTTAACTCTCCAGTAGAGGGAGTGTAGGAGGCAGCTGGTTGATGGTTTTCTCTCTCTCCCTTCCACTCTGAAATCAATAAAAACCATATTTGAAAACAAAAGTAAATAAAATGAGAAAATCTCCCCTGTAGCATAAAGTTGTCATGAAAAGTTAGTGAATAAGTGTCAACATGCTTAAAGTAATGTCTGCCATTACTGTCTTTCCTTCAACAAATACTGATTTAATACCTGCTGTGTCTAAATACCATGAGAGGCAACAGATGTGCGTAAACAAGGCAAACAAGGTTTCTGATCTCATTCTGGGAGAGATGACAAAGAAGGAAACAAAATGGTGAGAAGTGATATGAAGACAATAAAATGAAGTAACGTAAGAGCACTTTAGGTCCACCGAAGGGGATGCTATTGTCAGGAAGATGACATTTACGCTGAGACTTGGAGGAGGAGAAGAAACCAGAAGATCTGATGGGAAATCACTTCAGACCCTGGGGGTAGCAAATGCAAAGGTCCTGAGGCAGGAATGAATTAGGCAGTTTGAGGAACAGCAAGAAAGCCAGTGTGGCTAGAATGGAGGAAGGACGAGAAAGATGACAAGCTCCCAGGGCAGTTTTCGTGGCCTCTAGGAAATGCTCAATGACGCTGGGGAATGAACCTAAGAGCCACCTGGGCAGGGGACGAGGCAGTGCTGAGGAGCTACATTTAGCCCAGGACTGGTGGGGAGCCATGGAGTGTTAATCAGCAGAGAGATGACTAATTTGTGTGTATTTTGCAAGGAAAGATAAGGGCCTCGGAAATCCCCTGTGCCTGGCTCCCACCTTCCAGGTCCACCCCGTGGCGCTGGGCCAGGTGGAGAACATTATCCCCGACTCTGCCTCTCACCGGAATCCGTTGGCCTGACCGGTCTACGAACACCACGTTCACCCTGAGGACAGATGGGAATGCAGATGCCGAACTGGACGATGGCTCAGGGTTCAGGTGGGACCGGGGCTTAGGACAGGGAAACAGGACAAAGCGCAGGGGGGCTCCAACGATGGGGCTGCGGGGTATGGCGGGGACTAGAAAAGCCTCGTGGGATGAGGGACGGGGGACTCCTCCCACCCCCACTCACACGTCCCCGGGCCGCTCGGGGCCGCCGGGTTCTTCCTCCCCCGCCGAGCGCGAGCCTGGAAAACACAGTTGGGTGAGCCGCGCGCAGCGCCCCGGGCATGGGCGGGTGGATGCTGCCCTCCCCCGAACCCGAGGCGCCGCAGGTACCTGTCACCCGGAATTTTCTGGCTGTCGCTGGTGGCGCCGCCTCCCCGGACCCCAAAAACCCCCCTGAACGGCTCCACCAGCGACCTTTGGCCACCCGCAGCAAGAACCCAGCGTTCACGCCGCCCCGGGCCACGGAGGCGGCCATGACAGGCGTCACGTGACCCGGAAATGGAGCATGCGCCGTAGCGCACAGGCGAGCCGGGCTCAATTACCCCGGTATCAGGGCCTGTCGATGTCCGCTTACAGGGCAAGAACTGCTGGAGTTGGGGAGAAGGGGCAGCGACCGGATCTGGCACACCAAGACCTGTAGAGGCCACCCCAGACCTCCCACCCAGGCCCATTGTCTCAATAACCAGTCAGCTCTGCTTTCTTTAAAACCATTTACTTACAAACTTTAATTGAGCAAATGTCTTTGTGAGAGGAGGGGGACCCCCAGAGTAAGAAGGAAGCTGTGGCCTAGTTGGCCAGGGGCAGGGCCCAGGGTCACTTCAGGCCAACAGGTCCTGCTGGTGGGCAGGGGCAGAGTTGATCTGCATGGAGTTGTGTGATTCCAGCAATGGTCCAAGGGGAGGCCAGCTCCAGTGACCTGGCCAGGGATGGAGGTGAAGCTCATCTTCAACGTGGGGGAGTCAGCAGAGGGTCAGTGAGGTGCACAGTGCCGGACTCCCATAGACAAAGCGCAGGGGGACTGGTTGCAGCGGGCAGAGAAAGCCTGTCGCTGCAGCTGGGCCTGGGCAGAGGAATGGTGGAGTTGGTTTGCTAAGGCCAAGGCTTTGGCCTTCTACTGTCCCCAGGGTGGGGGCCCTGGGTAGAGGGATCCAATCCCCAGGCCAGAGCTGTTTGGTCCTGAGTCAAGCTTCCAGAGCTTGACGTCTGAAAGGCTCTGGCCAGTGGGTTTGGAGCCCTGCTTTAAGGCATCAGAAGGCAAGGGGACTGTGGCAGGGAGCAGGGCACCCAGAGCTGGAGCACAGGCCAGACTGGGCAGGCAGGGGCAGGAGGCCACCATGCCTGCAACAGACATGGGAGAAAGAGAAAAGAGCTGAGCCATTTCAAACTGAAGAGTGTGGAATGGAGGCACAGACATGTTGAAACTTGCAGGTATAAGACCTGGGGGTGGTTCTGCATTATTTAAAAAATAATAAAAATTAGAAAAGGAAATGAAAGTCAATTGTCAAAGTTAAAAAAGGGGGATAGTCTCTGATCCTCACGGGAGGTCAGGGAAACCTCCAAGGCACTCGAAAGGCCAAGATTCAGGAGCGACGAGGCAGGAGCAGGCTCCCAGAGGCCGATGCCGGCAGACACAGGGAAGGCAGAAAGGGGCCCAGCCTGCTCTCTTAAGGCTGCAGGGTTTCCGTGCTAGGAGCAGACCAGAGATGCAGAGTAGCCCCCAAACTCTCCCACACTCCTTGGGCTCCAGCTGGTTGGTCAGCAAAGTCTTTCAGAGATTTTCTATTACTGAAAGGAAAAAACAAACAAAAACACAAAACACCAGAAAACCCAAAAGCGATTTGGTGCAGGCCCTGGAGCATCTCTGGCACTAGCCCCTTAGAAAATCCTCTTGCGCTTCAGGTACGAATCTGCATAATGGCCACCAAGGCCTTGGGAGTGCTGTCCCACATAGCTGCCTTCTGGGCTGGGCTCTGGTGAGGGCAGCAGGTGGGCAAAGCTGCGTTTCTGGCCACCCAGCGGTGTCTAGAAACAGAGGAGAGGGGGTAGCGAGTCAGGGGCCACCTGGGGGTCGCCATTCCCCGCTGTGTGTGCCCTCAACCCTTGCCCGTACCTTCAGTAGGTGGCTATGGCCATTGGGCCCAGGGCCCAGGCCCAGGAGCCCTTCTCCGGAGCCCAGTGGAGAGGAACCAACCGCCTGGCAGAAATGGGAGATGGGATAAAAAAATCCCCCAGAGCAAAGGTCAGGACTTCCGGTTCAAATCATGCCTCCGCTGCTTACTAGCCATGACTGGTGGGTGGGGGTGGGAACGACGACAAATTAGCCCTGTCTCTGAGCTTCCGTTTTTTCATCCATCAACTGGGGCTAATACCACCCAACCCCTGGCTTCTGGGAAACTAAGTGGAGGCTCAGAAGGCTGGGCAGCACCAGGTGCTACACACACAGGTGCAGGAGGGCTGTTCTGATTCGCCTTGGCTCTAAGCAAAACGGATCCCTGCCACCACCTAGCCATTACCTAGGCACCGAGGCTCACAGAGACCCCTGGCATCCTGGCTGTCCCTGGGAACCTGTGCTGGGCTGGGGGCGGCTCCTCACCTTGTTAAGGTGGCTTTGCTTGAGGCCAGCCTGCAGGCCGCTGGTGAAGTAGGAAGTGGGCGAGCCCGAATAAAAGTGAGAGAAGGATCCCCCGCCTCCTCCACCACTCCGTTCGCTGAAGCCACTGGGTGGAGGGGACATCTGCAGAGAGGGGGAAGGCTGAGTGAGGCAGACTACTGCAGTATCCACCCACTTTTGCAAACCACTCCTAGATGACTCTGGACTTTGGCCACAAGCAGAAGTGCCTGCCTTCCCTTCTGCCTCTAGGGAATCCTGAGATCACCACCACGTGCACAGGCTGGCCAGCTGGCCGGCGAGTTCCACGTGGAGCTCACCAGCTGAGGCCCCTAGACAAGGCCCATTTCCCACCATATTGACCACCAGGTCTATGACTAAGGTCCTGTACACTGTTAAACCTCAGCTGAGCTGCAAGGTGAGTGTAGAGAACCACCCACCCGCCACCCCACAGACTGGTGTGAAATAACGTTTGCTGTTCTAAGCCACATGTGGTGGGACTACTCGCGCAGCAAAAGCTAACTGATACACCTGGAAGGTGGGATTCACAGGGCAGCTTACTCTGTGTCGGCTGGGTCCGTGAGGCCCGAGGGCTGGCTCCCGTGGGTGGGAGAAGGGGCGCCTCGGTCCCATGTCCTGAATGAAAGTGGGAGAAAGTGTGTTGAGTTGGGGTCTGCACCAACCTCACTCTTAGCTGAATTCTCCAGCACATATATCATTAGGGAAGTTTGAGAGGGGAAACTCAGCCTGTAGAGTGGGGCAGTGGGACAGAATGTGCTGTCCCAGGGCTGGCTCCACCTAAGACCCAGAGATGACTGCTGTGAAGTCAGGTGGCCTCATTGGAGCCAGGTGTGTGGAGTTTTCGAGGCAAGCTGGGCATCAGAGTTGTGTGAATGCTTGCAGTTTTTATATGTTGGTATCAGTGTCTATTTCAGTTTTTATTAAAATAGATTTCACTATCAATTGTTATTCTTTTATATATAAAAGGCTAAGTGACCGGCCATAAGTCCTTCCAACCATCTGATAAAATGTGCACTGTCAACTTAAAAATAAATGTTGCCCTAACCCAGTGGTTGGCAAACTCATTATCAACAGAGCCAAAAATCAACAGTACAACGACTGAAATTTCTTTTGAGAGCCAAATTTTTGAACTTAAACTTCTTCTAACGCCACTTCTTCAAAATAGATTCGCTCAGGCCCTGGTATTTTGTGGAAGAGCCACACTCAAGGGGCCAAAGAGCTGCATGTGGTTCTCAAGCTGCAGTTTGCCGACCACGACCCTAACTGGTTTGGCTCAGTGGATAGAGCATCGGCCTGCGGACTCAAGGGTCCCAGATTCGATTCCAGGCAAGGGCCTGTACCCTGGTTGCGGGCACATCCCCAGTAGGAGGTGTGCAGGAGGCAGCTGTCCGATGTTTCTCTCTCATCTGTGTTTCTAACTCTATTCCTCTCCCTTCCTCTCTGTAAAAAAAACACACACAATAAATACATATTTTTAAAAAATGTTGACTTGCAGAAACCAGTTTGGCTCAGCGGTAGAGCATCTGTCTGCGGACTGAAAGGTCCCGGGTTCAATTCCGGCCAAGGGCATGTACATTGGTTGCGGGCACATCCCCAGTGGGGGATGTGCAAGAGGCAGCTGGTCGATGTTTCTGTCTCATCGATGTTTCTAGCTCTCTATCTCTCTCCCTTCCTCTCTGTAAAAAAATCAATAAAATATATTTTAAAAATAAATAAATAAATAAAAAATGTTGACTTGCACAAGTGCAATACATATAAAGCACTCGTTGGCACCAATCTACAGTTAAAAGTAGGAATATTCCTACCTGAACCCGTTTTTCTGACATGGTCAGTTATATGTTGCTTTCTTTCAGGTTCCAAGAATGGTGACATTAAAGTTGTAAATACTTCAACCCAAGGGAAATTAGTCGAGCACTCTGAAAGTGCTTTTACTCTTAATGTGGTATACAGGGAGATATTAGAGTAAGTTTAATCCATTTATCAGTCATTGTTTTTATATTGTTTTAGGTTTTATTTGTAGTGTTTTTGTTTTTATATCATGTTTTTGTTGTTTTTATGTCATGTCTCGTTGTTGTTATGTCATGTTGTTTATTAATTTATATATTATTTTCATATATATTTTATTAATTTTCTTTCATCTCTGACACTTCTATTTTATAGAGAAAGGGCAAATAGCAATATTAAAATATTTTTCCTAATAAATTTCCTTTCAATGTGCACGAATCCATGCACCAGGCCACTAATTTTTCTATATTACAGTGTGGGTCACACATAACACAGGTGACCCACAAGTGGCCAGTCTGCAACATCTGACCTGGAAGCCGCTGGAGCCAAAGAAAGAACAGTTCCCCAGGGACAGAGACCGGAACCTCAGAGGGGAGAGGCGAGAGAAGGGCAGAGAGACAGGAAGCCGAGTCCCATCTCTAAGGGATGCAGAAGTACAGCCTACAGCCTCTTGGGAGAAAGACAGACAGGAAGCAATGCCCGATGTGCAGAAACAGTCAAGACTGAAGGGCAAGGACTGTGTCTGGCATGTTCCCTGCTGTCACAGTGCTTGGCCTGGCAGTGTCAGTCCTAGAGAAATACTGGTTTGGAGAATGACTTGCTCCCAGGGGACAAAGGGCCACAAGAGCCAGCCCTCAGGAGGGCTGACAACAGGGCACAAAGATACTCACCGAAGGGTAGTCGAAGCCATAGCTGTCAGGAAGCCCTGGTTCGGGAGGCAGGCGCGTGCTGGGGAGGGGGCTGAGCAGGCGGGACTTGAGCTGGAAGGCTTTGCTGCCGCCGCCGCCTCCACCACCTCCACCTCTGGGGACTGGGGGGTTAGGCAGGGGGCCCTCAGCTGGGCGGTGGCTTCTCCCGGCGCCTCCCCAGCCCCGGGCCTCCTTACTCGCCAGATTGCTGGCAGGGAGCAGGCTGTGTAGGTTCAGGTAAGGGTTCAGGGGGATCCGGAAGTCCTTGGGGGGCTCCCCCAACAGTGAGACCTGTGGCGAGAGGGCTGGATTCGAGAGGGTTCCTGACGGGAAACGTCGCAGGGCAGGAGACTGGAACGGTGCTGGGAGCAGGACAGGACCTTACCCCGGGCGGTGTTGGCAGAGGCCCGCTCTCTTTCTGTAGGCCTCTGAGGCCAGAGCCTAGGAGGCCCACGGGGGCAGGGGGTGTAGTGAGCTGGGCTGCTGGGGGACCCAGGCCCATGGGTTCTCGGTCCCCTCCGGAAGGACCAAGCAGTGGCGGGAGCAGGGGTGGTGGCTTCCCTCGCCGGGGTGGCAGCTCTGGGGGCAGGCCCCCTCCTACAGAGAGAAGAATGTCAGTGGCCCAAACATACGGGGCCCTTCCTTCCAGGGTCCTAACGCATTTTCTTGGACCAGGGTGAACTGCCAAGGAACTGGGCTCTGAGCAAGCCCTCTGAGTACATCAACTCCCAGAATGCTCAAGGGTTCTCCCATAAGGTGGGCGCCCAGCTGACAGACACTGAGACCCAGAAAGGTTAGGGCACTTGCCCAAGGCCAACTGGAAATGTACTGCCCAGTAAGGAAAGGGGAAGCAAGATGGGCCCAGCGAGATGACAAGGGGAAGGGTCTGTTACCTGCAGACAGCTCCCCAAGGAGGTGGTTGGCCGACTGCGCACCAGCCTGCAGGTTGCCCAAGGGAGAGTCTCCCAGGATCCCGGGCTTCTGGGGACAGAGAGCAATCAGCTGGTGATGGGGGCAGTGTGGCCTTAGCAGCAGACAGCTATTGCCAAGGGTCTCAATGCCCAGCACACCCAGATTCTAGCCCACGTGTTCACGGGCCCCCCAATGTCTGTGACACCCTGGCCATCATCCTTCTGGCCAGCTAGTGGTCCCCAAGGACCTCCTGCATGCCAAGACCCACCTGAGACCCAGGAACATGGACCAAACACTCAGTAGTCGGGGGCCTACCACTCCAGCGTTAGTATCACACACACACACCGTGACAATCCTTTGGCACCCACCACCCCACACCCAGCCTCTTTGATCACGGAAGGAGTCATTCTTCACTACACATGGATTCAGTCAGTCAGGCACACCAAAGTCCAAGCACACAACTTCACACTGCCAGCTATCATCGGACATACTCCTGCCACTGACACGGCCCCAGTGAATCAAACCAGACAGGGTAGTACATGTGTGTTCTATTTGTCTGCATCCATCTATGTGAGGTGTGTGTGCGTGCTCTAAGGTGTGGTCTCTGTGTGTCTATTTTTGGGTGTATATGTGTCTCCATGTATATCAGTTTTTGCATGTGTCTCCCTGTGTGCACTGAAGTGGTACGGTGTGTATATTTGTGTGTATGTGTCTATTTTTGTGTTTTTGCGTGAGTGAGTGGGGGTGAAAGGCCATCTATTCCCTGGTGGGGCCAGGTCTTTCTTCCCCAAACTGAGTCCTGAGCACCTGTGACAGGTCAGGCCCCATAAAGCACCAGGGACACAGCCAGATGGCCCACAACCCCAAAGGCGAGCCCCAGGTATGAGTAGTGTTTGAAACTGAAAGGGAAAGGGCTGTGGCAGCACGTGTGAGTGAGGAGGGAACCTGGGGCCCACACCCGTTTACCTTCTGACCCTGGGTTTGCAGGGCCAGCTGCAGCAGCGCCGTGGACAGGGCAGGCCCACTGAGCAGTGGCATGGCTGGGGGGGCACCCAGGAGACCTGGAGGGAGACCAGGGAAATGGGCGGTGATGCCTGGATGGAAGCCCCCCTCTGCAATTCAGAGGCAGCCCTGCGCCTGAAGCCATGAGAGAGCAAGTGAACAGCCCAAAGGAAGGGCCTGGGAAGGGAGAGTGCCCTGGGAGAGGACGGCCCCTTTCCCATCGCCTTGCCTCACTGCAGGCTGCAATGCTCCCACCTATGACCGCATGCAGGGGACCTCTGTTCTTAACCCAGCTCCTGCACATGGGGCTCTTGTCACAGGGAGCTCAGATGGGAACAATCCCTGGGAGATGTCTGGCTCTGAGAGGCTGGGGACCGGTCCCCACAGTGCCCCACCCAGTTCACCTGACACGCCTTACCCTGTTTGCCTCCTGAGTTGCTGTGAAGCAGGGGATTGAGCAGCAGCTGGAGGGAGGCGGAAGGCCCCAGGTTGTTGAGCAGCTGCAGGATATTGGGTTCAGGCAGGAGCCCTTTGCCCCGATTGAGGGCCTGAGGAGAGAAAAGGATGGTGGTTCAGAGCCCTGCCAAGCCTCAGAGGTGAGGCCTCATCCTTCCTTATCGCCCCCAGAACCTGAGTGGCGACCGCCAAGAGCCCTGATTTCTCAGGGGAGGACAGCCCGGCCTCCCGGTATCCCAGTCCCACTCCCTGGGCACACACTCACCGTGGCCTGGGCAGCGATGAGCGCAGCCAGCATGCTGCGGCCAGGGGGCCCTGGGGCACAGAAGGAAATGCGCAGGTGGCTGCCCCCCAGGGCCAGGCCGTCTGCCTCCTGCTGCACCTCTTCAGCCATCTCGGCAGTCTCATACTCCAGCACAGCGAAGCCCTTCAGCTGCCCATCCTGGCCGTACGCCAGCTGGTGAGGGGGGGAGGTGAAGATGAGTGCCAGGGGGACAGTGACCACTCTCACATAGAGTGACAACTGTGACCAGGCATGGATCCCTATTAAGAGAGACCTCACCCCGCCAGATAGGGTAGATTTTTGGGCCTGGCACTGTTCTGGGCCCTGTTCATTAGCTCACTGAATCTTCCCCATGGCTGGGAGAAGCTGCATCCTACCCATTTTTCAGAGGGAACAACTGAGGCTCAGAGAAGTCATATGCTCAAAGTCGCACAGCTGGTGGGAGGACGACGCTGCAACCCGTCTCATAGGGATCAACTTCCTTGGGCTTCATGCCAGTGTCACTTTGGGACTTTGAGATTCCCGAGCATAGGAAGCAAGGTTGCAGGGCGGGGAGGAGGGGCTGCTGGAAGAGAGGCAGGTGGGTGGCTTTGGAGCACCACCAAATCAGGAGCCTCAGGCCAAGGACACCGCACCAGGGCTGGGAAGGCACACAGCATGGGGGCAAAGCAGGTGGCCTCTGAGCTCAGGCTGGTGGAGAAAGGGAACAGCCAGTGAGTCACAGGGAACAGAGGTGTCATCATAGCGGACGAGGGAGACCTGTCCACCCCCCTTGACTGCAGCCATTTGGTACTTTAGGCTTTCAGCTCCTCCTCCAGGCCCTTGGGCCAGATGTGTTCCCAGACTGAGAATTTTTAGGAAATCAGAAAGGGAGAATACCACATATATTATATATTACATATCAGTCACTCCAGTAGGGTCCAGGGCACCCTGAAAATCAAATGCAAATAGCTCTGCATCAAGACACAAAGAGAAAGGCCATGGACAGCCCCACAGTAGCTCTCTGCTGCAGACCTCTTGGTTTTCCCGGTATTTCGGGTGCTGGAATTGTGGGTAGGGACTATGCCAGGGAAAGCAGATACTGGGTGAGAGCTGGGCTCTTCACTGTGTCCAGATGCAGGCACTGTCAGCATGCCCACTTTGCAGATGAGAAAACTGAGGCTCTGAGAGTGGCAGTCCCTTGCCCAGGCCATATTGCTGGAGCTGGGATCAAGCAAGGCAAAGCTGATACCCTTAATAAGACTGGCCACCTCAGCATGGCGATGGCTGTCCCAAGAGCTAATATCATTTCTCTAGGTTCTGACTGACGTAGTGTGGTTTGGGACCAACCCAATGTCTACCAGTAGGGAATGGTACAGAGTCCATAAAATGGAATATGGCACCGCTGCAAAGGGAATGAGAAAACGCTCATGTCTGAACACAGAAAGATGCCCAAGACAGAATGAATGGAAAAACCAAACCAATGTAGGTACAGCAATGAATGGATCAAGAAGAGCCCATCTCTGGCCAGGCCCCATACCAAGGCCGGGATACACATCTCCTCACAATCACAGATGAATAGAGACTCAGAGGGTTAAAGGGCAACCAGATGGGGAAACTGAGGCTCACAGAGAGAACTTGTTGTTCTTGCCAACCTCAACCTCCACATGAGGAAGTGGCCCTTGAACGAATTCATCTATGCCCTGAGCCCCACCCAGGACCTAACACACAGGAGGTGCAGGAGCATGAATGAATGCTGAGAGAGCAAGGAGAGGAGTTCCTACAGATGTCCCACTCCCCAGGTCCTAGAACCCACTCATTCAGGAGAAGTGGGCCCCACCTAACGCCACAGAGCTGGGGTCTGACTCAGGTATCAGCTTCCTCTAGGCTGCCTGGGGCTCTGGAGTCAGGCTGCAGTGTTCCAATCCTCCTTCTACCATGTCCTGGCTGCATAACCTGGGGCATGTGACTTGACCCCTCTGTGCCTCAGTGTCCCCACCTGAAAATGGGGATTATACCGCTTACGGATAAAGGGACTGCAATAACGTGCTCAGAATCCAGTGAGTGCTAAAGGAACGTCTGCCTTGGGGGAGGGGGAGGAGGGCAAGTCCATCTGGCCTGGCCTATTCTCACCCCACCGTGCTTGTCCCGGGCACACATACAGAAGTGCCTGACAAATGTGATTTGGATGAACCAAGGATTGTTTTGTTAACCAATGTGTGAACACTGAATCTCAAAATGAGTCTGGTCAAACCATTTTCTGACCTCAAGCTAAACAGACTATGGGCTCCTCCCGAGCAGTCTCCTCACTGCTGGGCCTGGGACCCAGTAGGCGTTCAAGAGATAGCTAACGAGTGCAGGAGTGAAAGTGAATGAGGGTGAACAAGCTTTGGCCCAGCTTTCACAAAGGCAGCCTCACCTGCACTTCACATGGGGAGAGGCCAGCGAGGTTAAACCAGTCACTAGAGGGAGTGCAGGGATTTGAACCCCGGCCACTTGGCTCCTATCTGAGCACCAAATGGCCTAACGAGACCCCATTCAAAATGGCAACATCAACACTTCACTGAAAAGAGATCCAGGAGATTGGGGAGGGCAGGTGAACCCAAAGGACCCCTCCCAGGTGCTCCAGGCCTGGCAACTGCTCCCCAGGTTCCCACGCCAGGAGCAAGCTCACCTGGCAGAAGGTTGGTGTATGGACAGCCGACAGAGCCTGCCGCAGGGCGTCCACGTCACTGAAGCCAGGGGGCAGGCGGTCAACACAGAGGCAGCGGGAGTGGAGCAGGGCGGGGGTCAGCTGTCCTGCATCCGTCCAGTGCACGTAGAGGGTGCGCGTGCCCAGCGGCTTGCCCAGCAGGTCCGATTTGGCACGGGCAGCCGAGTCCTTCTTCATGTACTCGGCAAAGCCATAGCCCTTGGAATGGCCAGTGCGCTCGCTATAGACCAGGAAGCAGCGCTCCAGGCTGCCGAAGGGCCGCACCAGCTCCTCGAACTGCTGCTGGGTGAGGCTGGGGGGCAGGTTGGCCACGCACAGCAAGGCATCAGTGGGCTGCAGCTGCACAGACAGCTCGCGCTCCCGCAGGCTGCTCTGGTGGAAGGTGCTGATGGCGGCCTCGGCCTGCTCCCCGTTCAGCAGGGTCACAAAGGCTGCGGCAGGAGGGGGAGCGGATCAGAGGGGTCCTGGAGGGCCTGCCCCTCGACCCCATGGCTGCTCGCCCTTACTTCTCTCTAAACCAGTGGTTCTCAACCTATTTATTTATTTATAAATATATTTTTATTGATTTTCCAGAGAGGAAGGGAGAGGAATAGAGAGCTAGAAATATCAACGAGAGAGAAGCGTCGACCAGCTGCCTCCTACACACCCCCCACTAGGGATGTGCCCACAACCAATGTACATGCCCTTGACCGGAATCGAACCTGGGACTTTTCAGTCTGCAGGCCGACGCTCTATCCACTGAGCCAGACCGGTTTCGGCATGGTTCTCAACCTTTCTAATGCCGTGACCCTTTAATACAGTTCCTCCTGCTGAAACCTGTTTGGCTCAGTGGATAGAGCGTCAGCCTGCAGACTGAAGGGTCACAGGTTCGATTCCGGTCAGGGACATGTGCCTTGGTTGCAGGCACATCCCCAGTAGGGGGTGTGCAGGAGGCAGCTGGTCGATGCTTCTCTCTCATCCATGTTTCTAGCTCTCTATCTCTCTCCCTTCCTCTCTGGAAAATCAATAAAATATATATTTTTAAAAAATACAGTTCCTCCTGTTGTGGTGACCCCCAGCCATAAAATGATTTTCGTTGCTACTTCATAACTAATCTTGCTACTGTTAATGAACCGTAATGTAAATATCTGTGTTTTCCGATGGTCTTAGGCGACCCTGCTAGCGGTTCTCAACCTGTGGGTCGCGACCCTGCTGCTGTAGAGCCTAAGACCATCGGAAAACACAGACATTTACATTGTGATTCATTAACAGTAGCAAAATTAGTTATGAAGTAGCAACAAAAATCATTTTATGGCTGGGGGTCACCACAACAGGAGGAACTGTATTAAAGGGTCATGGCATTAGAAAGGGTGAGAACCACTGCTTGTGTGATCTCAGAATCTGACCAACTAAGACACCTCAGGCCCCAGTGGACTAGATAGTGGCTAGCTTTGAGCAACTCGTGCAGGTGTCTTCTACCGCCAGGAGGCCTGCTTCCTGCCCTCACCCCCTAGCCCTGTTCTCAACCTACTCAGGAGCTCACCTGTCCTCTTATATACTGTGCACCTGGCTAGGTGACACAAAAGGCATAGGTGAGTAACTTGGATGACACAGAGAGTACTGGTCAAGCATGTGGTCACTAGAGCCTGGTTTCAACTCCAGCCTAAGTGGCTGTGGGGGTCTCAGTTTCCCCATCTGTTAAATGGATGTAACTTATTCCTCATAACCACCATTGTGCCAGCAAGGAAATAAGTGCAGAGCAGCGGCACCCTTAATGGGGTGGAGGAGCCTAGACTTGAACCCAAGCAGACAGACTCCACAATCCCATTCTCACCCCGTCCTCACCACCTTTCTAGGCCAACATCTCTCTACTTCTCATGTCTGAGCCCTGGCCTAAGCCTTAGTCCTGCTGCCTCTCCTGGTTTTCTGTCCAGCCAATAGCTAGCTTTTCAAAATGATTATCAGAATGTGCCATGCCTTATCCAGGGGCTTCTCACTGCAGGGGACAAGAAAGCCTATGTGGCCGACCCCATGGCTTTACTAACCTCCTCTCCCATCTCTTGCTGCTATTTCCTGGACTATGCTAGGCACATGCCCGCTCAGGCCTTTGCATCTACACTTCCCTGGGACACTGACCTCCCCTTCTTCACCTGGTTAATCCTGATCCACCCTTCAACCTGATTGCAAACATCACTTCCCCCAGGAAGCCTTCCCTGACTGCTCCTGTTGCAGATCACAGCTCTGGGCTCCCACAGCATCCAGTAGCCTCTAGTCCTATGACCACTTCACCTTCACGCCTGCAGTTGTGTGAATGACCTCCTCCCCCAGACTAGACCACCGCTGTTTGGTTCACAGCTGTGTCCTGTGTCCCAGTATACACTGGTATCCAATAAACATTTTTTTGAAAAACACTATTAATGAGAGTCACTTAACCTCTGGAACCTCAATACCTGGCATATACACATAAGAGGTACTAAGTAAACAATTCTGACTTGTTGCCCTTGCCAGTGTTTACTAAGTATCTACTGGGTGCCAGATACCTACAGCCTTTTTAGCTATTTTAATGTTTTACCTGTGGCTAACCAAAGCAGGTCATAGCAATTTGTTGGTGAGGAAACTGAGGCTCAGGAAGGGTGAATCACTTACCTATGGCCTCCAACTGAGGACAGACCAGGATTTGAACCCAGGTCTATTTGTCTCCAGGACCCAAGATCTTAACCACTACCCTAGCCCTTCAGGTAGGTCTCCAGGGTCCCCATCCTCACCTGCTTCTCACCCAAGTTACAGATTGCAAGCACAAGGCCTAGAGGGAGGACACAGATACCCACCGAGGGGCTCCCACAAGGTGGGGGGTGCAAGGCTAACAAGACATGTCCCTGTTTCCATGGAGATGACACTCAGAGCAGGAGGCAGGTGAGGGAGCCAGCAGTAACAGCCCAGAGTGAGGGGGAGAGGCACTCAGGCTCTGTGGAGGAGCTGCCTGCCTCCACTGGACAGACGAGGGGACAGCCAAGAACAGTGGCAGAGGGAATAAGGAGGCGGCAAGGATGGTGTCAAGAGGAGGCTCAGACAGGTTTTGAGGAGAGAAAAACAACCAGGTTAGGGTTAGGTTTTTTTGTTTTGTTTTTATATGTTTGATTTTTAAAATTCATTTCAGAGAGAGGAGAGAGAAATAGAAACATCAGTAATGAGAGAGAATCATTGATCTGCTGCCTCCTGCACACCCCCTACTGGTTAGCAACCCGGACACGTGTCCTGACCAGGAATCGAATTCTTGGTTCATGGGTCAGTGCTCAACCACTGAGCCCACTGGAGAGCTAGAATTATGCTTGATCAGATTTGCAATCAACTGATCAAATGTGATAGATCCTGGCTCCCTGGGAGAGGACAAGTAGGAGTGTGAAGTCATGGAGAGAGCAGAGGGAGACTGCCATCTTGACAAAGATGGAGGGGCACCAATTGTTCTGGAGGTTTTGGAATAGACCGGACAGGCCTAGGTGACTGTGGCTGGGGGTATGGTGTGGGAAGTAGGGAAGCCCGATGCTCAGGTATCTGGCCGAGCAGCTGGAGGAAGAACAGGAGTATCAATGAGCTTCCAGGAAAGATTGGGCAACAGTCTGTCTTGTGCTGGCCTAGGGGATGTGGAGCCCAAAATTCAGGAGAGGAGATGCCAGGCCAGAAAGCACCCAGCTCCAGGGACTGTCACCCCTTGCCGCTAGCCCGCCCCACAGCCCCACAAACCTGTCCCTTTGTATCTGTCCACGAAACAGTACTTGAGCTCATAGTCGCTGAGCAGGTCGTGCACTTCCTGCGAAGACAGAAGCCAAAGGACGGGGAGTCACCAGGGGCTGAAGGAAGCAATCCAGTGCAACCTTCACATGGAACAGCTACAAAAGCCGGTCAATTCTACTCCCCACTTAACGAAGGAGGAAACTCAACTCAGAGCAGTTACTTGCCCAAAGCCATTGAGGCCACACCTGGCAGAGCCGGGATTCAAAGTCTAATTGCAGCTCCCATGTTCTTAACCCACACAAAATACTCTTAAGAGAGTCAGGTGCGTCCGAGTTCAGGACCTAGCTCTGCCTTATGCCCTCAAGGAAGTTGTTTAACCCAGTGGTCGCCAAACGGTGGTCCGGGGACTACTGGTGGTCTGAGGTCCAAAAGGTTGGCAACCGCTGGTCTAACATGACTGACTCTCAATTGGAAGCCTGACTCTTTTCAAAAACATTACAAATTAGGTATTAACAAACCCATTTTGCAGATGGGGTGAAGGTCAAGGCGGCAGCAGGAATGCCACCCAGAGGCACCTGTCTGCGGACCCTGTATACGTGAAGCCCACACTGGGTGGCTTCCTGTGCTTCCCAATTCCCTCCTGCTGACACCGCCGCCTTCTTGCAAGCCAACTTCGGGGGCGAGGCTCTACGGCCTACTTGTGCCAGCTACACTGTGCGCCCTGCAGGAGAGACAGTGTGTTCCCAGCTAAGAGATGGCAGGTGCTAGGAGGAGGGCTGACTCTAGAAATAAACCAGACCATGCTTAGTGGTGCTTGCTCCAGGACTGTTCCCGGGTCACGCCCTCCCAACACTTTGGTGGCCCTACCAGCCATGTGCCCACCTACAGCGAGGGTGTTGGTGGCCCAGAAAGGAGGAATTCTGAGCAACAGGAAGAGCGTGCCCGTCCCACTACCACAGGGCAGGGCATACCAGATGCAATCTCCTTGGGTCCAAAGAGCAATGGGAAGCCCTGCGCCGGGAGGCCCCAAGAGAAGAGCACCCCTGGCCAGAACACTGGCCCCTCCTTTCTTGAAGGTCTGTGGGCTGGGAGCAGGAGACCCCCTTTTTCCAAGGAAATTCTGGGGCTTTGTGAGAAGAAAGATCCCAGGAGCTGCTACAACTTCCGATCTCTCTCTAAGAGGAGTTAATAAACCGTGCTCTAGCCAACCCTGAACTTTTCTGGCTGTGAGGTCTCGCCACTGCATGGTAGAGGGGAATGAGGATAGACGCAATCAGAGCAGGGAGCAACTGGCGTCTCTACTCCCGCGGTCCCAGTCTAGCTGCCCATTCACAATCCCCCAACTGGGCCAAAGCTGCCTGCCCGCTTCAATCACTAGTTCTCTTCCAAGCCTGTGGTGGCCCTTAACAACATCCTCCCTCGGTCCAAAGTTGGTTTCTCCCTCCATCGCCGCCCCCCCCCAACCCCCCGCAAAAATCCGCCCTTGGCCCCTCCCAAACCCTCACGGATCCTGCGTTGGGACTCTCCCGCCCAAGCCCCCTTACACCCGGGCACGCGAGCGTCGCTGTTGCCTGGTTCCCCCCGCGCACGCGCACGGTGGTATTTCCCGCCACGCTTCCACACCGCCCCCCCATACCTGGTTGGTCACGTCCCCCGGGAGGCCCCGGATCAGTATCTTGCGGCGGTTACGGAACTGGCGCTCGGTGTGTTCCAAGCGTTTCCCGATCTCCTCTGGATCTAGCGGCTGCAGTTCTTCTTCGGGCGACCGGCGCTCTGGGGCATCGTCAGCTTCAGCCTCGGCCCCAGGCTCCGGGCTCAGCGGGGGCCGGTGAGTAACGGACACGTCGGCCGCCATCTTGGGAAACCCGGCGCCTTCTGGGACCAGCGAGACGGGGCTAAGCGGCATAGAGCGTCTGCCTATTGGCCGAAGGAAGCCCCGCCCCTTCTCTTCAAACCTCTCAGCCCATTGGCTAGAGCTCAGCCCGCCTCCCAGAGTTCACGCCCCATCTGGGCGCACAGCCTCCGCCCCTTTCCACCCCTGCGACGTCACCCAATACACGCTCAGCGGTGGTGGGAGATCCCCTTAGCGCAGGTGGAATCCAGCCTTAGACTCCGGCCCGGCTGGTGTGGTTCAGTGGTTGAGCATGGACCCATGAACCAGGAGGTTACAGTTCGATTCCCAGTCAGGGTACATGCCTAGGCTTCAGGCTCGATCCCCAGTAGGGGGGCATGCAGGAGGCAGCCAATCAATGATTCTTGCTCATCTTGATGTTTCTATTTCTCTCCCTTCCTCTCTGAAATCAGTAAAAAAAATAAAAAAAAATAAAAAAAATAAAAAAATAAAAAATATATATATATAAATATTTAAAAAGCCACAGACTCCGGATTTTGATATCTTTATTGTTGCAGCACCTGATGATAAAGCCAAACCCCTGTGGACTTTGGCCCATTACCCCATGGCTGGAGGCTCAAGATGATGGCTCCCCCTCAGGCCTTTTAGGTGTGAGGGGAATCCCGGCGTTTCCCTGATTCACATGGTAGATGTCTCTACGCTTGTGCACCCCGAAGACATAAATTGAGGCCGGGATGGCAGCCACGAAGCCCAGGGTGGTCAACACCGCCAAGATGATGGTAATGGTGAGGGGGTTCCGCTCTGTGCAGAGAAGCAAGGAGTAAGTACTCGTACCCCTGCCCCTCCCAGGCTTGCCCATTTAGACCCCCCAGTCCCGCCTCAGCTCACCTTGAACATTCATCACCACAACGAAAGTGTGTTCGCCCTGTGAGCTGGCCGCCCGGCAGTTGTAGGTACCACTATAGTTTAGCCTGACACAGAATGGGATCCCGATGGGAACCTGGGCCATGGAGTCTTCGTGCAAACACTGTAGCTGGGGATCTGGGTTGCCCTGGGCTTGGCACCGAAGGATTTGGATCGTTCTCTCTTTCCACATCAAGTGCTGAGGACATTTGGCTGGGTCAATCTTGGGACCATCTGCAGGACCGCCAAATGATCAGACAAACCCAAGGTACAATGGGGGAAGAGAGAGTCAAGTCTCCAATTCAGGAGAGCAAGGAGTTAAAGGCCAGAGTGACCTACTCACACAGTACGTGCAGCTGGACGCTCCTGTTCCTGAGCAGGACCACCCCGTCCACCTCGAGGGCGGCGCTGCAGAAGAAGCTGCGTCCATCGTCCCTCTCGGTGGCGTTTAGCTGGAGCAGGGCGAGCTGACCCGGGGCTGCAGCGGGAACTCCGTCCAACGTGACCTGGACTCGGGCTCCGGCAGCGCAAGTCACATTCACTGTGGTCCCCTGATGGACGGTGGGTTGGCTCATGTTCCTGATGGTCCCACTCACGTTCATGACGGGCCCCCCGAAGCCTGCAGGAGTAGCATTGCCTTGGAGTTTGCTATCCACTCCTCACATCCACTAAGCCCAGCCCTCCACCCGAATTTCCCCCCTCAGGATATGCAGGCCTCGCCTTTTAGCTCTTCTGTGGCCCCACCCAAGTCGGGGCACTCAGGCCTTACTGTTATTGAAGACCCAGGCCCCGCCCACGCGGCAACTCCTCCCACTTTGGCGGCTCAGGCCCCGCCTTTCTGGCCTGGCTTCTCCGGTGCCTTGCCCTTTGGGCTAATGAAGCTCACCCCCTCGCCCTCACCCCTGCAGCAGTTTGACCCGCCCCCTCTTACTATAGATGGTCAAGTTCTCCCGAGTCTCCTGGCTCTCGCCCCCCAGGGTCACATTGCAGACAATCTCCTGAGCCCCCTCCAGCTCCGCGCTCGCCGTGGCTGTGGCTGTGGCCTTCAGCGTGTCACCGTGGGTCACGACTGTGGCATTCAGCGTCTGGTCCCCCAGCGCCAGTTGGACCTGGGCCTCTGAGGCAGGAAACAGCCCGTCCAGGATGCAGGTCACGGCCTGGGATGTTCCCACCTCCAAGAACCTGGGAACGGAGAGATGCGGAGGCGTCCCTGGCAGGACTGGGGAGAAGAGTGGGAGTGAGCTGGAGTTCTCGCACAGCCGTGGACACCCCTTTCCCTGTGACACACTCAAACCCCCCGACCAGGGTTCTTTCCCAGGGTATCCTGTAGCCTGGATTAGCCCCTTCCTAGGACACATCTATCTCAAAAATTCCTGCCACCATGGGAATTTTTGAGGCCAACCATCCAATGGCCAGGGGCAGGCCTTCCCAGAAACCCTTGAGGTCCAGGCCACCCCATTCTCAAGAACCGCAGGCCCAGGACACCTCTGCTTTGGCTCAGCTCGTCACCCACAATCTGCAGTCCCTTTCCTCACCGAAGGCTCGGAGCTGCCTGGGGACTGAGCTGTTCTGGAACAGTCCCAGCCCTTGGGGCCGCAGGTCCAGTTCCCAGCGGCAAGAGAAATTGGCACCATGATCGTTTCTGCTGGCTAGCACCGTGGTGGTGACTTCCGCAGGTTCTCCAACCGCCAGCTGCTGGCTCAGCACCTCCTCCCCACGGAGCAGCAACACGGAGAGGTTGGTCCGGGGTGCCCCGCCTGCCACCCTGCAGCGCAAGGTGAAGTTTTTGCCCACAGGGTTCCAGGGGGACAAGGGTGCCAGCTCCACACGCTCTGGGAACTCTGCGGGTGGGGGTAGAGGGGGGGGAGAACAGAGCTTACCAATCAGCCTTGCATCCCCCTCCCCAGGGAGGGGAGAGGACCCGAGGGTGGCCCAGTGCAGAACTGTGAACGTGGAGGTGATTACCTAGAGGGCTTAGAAATGTGCTAGTGGAAGTGTTTGCTATTGTCGATAGCATCAAGATTATTATTTTCTGTTTTGTCAGGCAGTGAAAGAAAAGATTTGCTATTTACAAGAAGAACCTCACAGTAAAAAAAAAATAATAATAATTAAATAAAATGAGCCCTGGCATGTTCTGCTTAGTGACTGAAGGGCTCCAGTTGATCCCCAGTCATGGGCACCTACCTTCATTGCAAGCTCTGCAAGTTCAAGAGTGTGAGGGAGGCAACCAGTCAATGTGTCTCTCTCACATTGAAGTTTTTTTCTTTTCTCTCTCTCTCCCTCCCTCCCTCCTCCTTCCCTTTTACTCTGAAAATCAATGGGGGGGAAAATATCCTCGGGATGAAGTTTTTTTAAAAAAAGGGAAAGGGGAGATAAGAGATCAACTGACTTGTATACATGCATATAAGTACAACCAATGGACACAAAACTCTGGGGAGGGAGGGTATGTATGGGGGGGACAATGTTAAAATATGTACATAGATAATAATTTAATAAAAAATAAAATAAAAAATAAAATAAAAATATGACAAAAGCAAAAAAAAATTTTTTTAAATTTAAAATTTAAAAAAGGGAAAGGGTACTAACACCTATGACCACTTGTGACGTTAACAGTAATTAGAAAAGTTCCTATTTACCTAGAGCTTTCCTGAGTTTTTGCAAATGTCATCCAGGCATCCCCCTTCATTGACATTGCAACTGAGAAAAACGTTCTCTATTATATTCTTTTTACAGATGGAGAATCAAGCCCAGAGGGCACATCCAGGAAGGGGCAGAGCCCGGGGCAGAATGTGGGTCTCCCAAACTTTAGACCCGTGTGTCCACCTGCCTCTTTGATGTCACATCTAGGGATTCCCCTGGCCCTCCTCCCAGCTTCTGGCCTGGACTCTGGCCTTGGCCTCTAAGAGCTTGGTGCAACCCTTCCCAGTCAGCCCCAGGTGCTCAAGACTCTCCCAGCCTACTTGCCCGGGGCAGCCTCTCAGGGTGCTCTGGCACAATCACGGGGGACCCGACCCCTCTAGGCTGGGTCCTCTCCCAGACGCAGCTGCAGGGCCTCTCTCGGGCACACAAACCATATCCTAACCTCCTTGGGAAGCCACTTATGCTCACCTTTGACAACTCGAGTTTGGATCTCAAGCTGTCAGAGAGGCCCGTGGACTGACTGCTATGAAAAAAGTTAACATCTTACTCCAATGTTAGAATACCTGACAAGGAGGCCTCCATCTTAGTCTCGGGCACCACTGGTCAGGGATAGTGTTATGCTGGTAAATTCTGGGTATGCTTGGGCTCTCGGGGGTGGGGTGGGGGAGCCTGGACAAGTATTTGCCAGTTTCCAAGGTGTAAACACTCCCACCATGGCGGATATCAGGCTACCCAGTGTGAGGTAGAGCTGGGAAGAGATGAGCACAGTCAGACCTCAGGAGCCAGGAACCACCAGCTCCCACACAGCACTGGCCAGAGGCACCTCACAGGCACACAGATACAGGCGGGGAGGTAGACACATGCAGATGTACACATTACACAGAAATATATGTGGATACAAACATATATGTAGACACATATTGACACAGACACACAGATATTGAAACAAACACACTTGCCCGCACACACAATAACACAAACAGTCACACATGGAGATATAGATACAATCATGGAGATACACAGAGAGAGATACAGACAGACACAGGCACACACACACATGTACACTCCCACAAACATAGACAATGCTCATAGACACACATGTAGGTACACAAATATGTATACACACTGGCACCCACATAAGAGCATACACATGGTTACTCATCCATGAAGGCTTCACAAAGCAGTAGGCACCATAAGTGACCGTCTGTTGTATGCCTTTTTAAAAAATACGTTTTTACTGATTTCAGAGAGAGAAAGGGAGAGGGACAGATAGAAACACCCATCTGCTGCTTCCTGCATGCCCCCCTACTGGGGAACAAGCCCACAACCAGGTGCCCTGACTGGAAATTGAACCGGGACTTCCTGTTTCATGGGTCCACGGGTCCACACCCAACCACTGAGCCATGCTGGCTGGCTCTCCATCGATTTTTAGAGACAATGGAAGGGAGAGTGAGACAGAGAGAGAGAATCATCAATGTGAGAGAGACATCAATTGGTTGCCTCCCGCACACACCCTGATTGGCCAGGACCCAGTTTGCAGCCAAGGTACATGCCCTTGACTGGAATTGAACCTGACATCTTCAGTCTGCAGGCTGGTGCTCTAACCACTGAACAATCAACCGGGTAGGGCAAGAAACTATTCTAAATAAATAAACAAATAAATAAATGCAGAGAATCTCGTGGGAGGATCCACAAGAAACCAGTACCAAGGGGATTCACAGTCTGGAAAGGAAGACTTCACCTGTTAATA